CTTATTACAGAGAACTCAACAAGTTTGCCTTCTTTACTGTTCTCTTGCTTTCCTTTTCATTTACCTTCCTCTCTGCCAACACCTTTCTGAAAACATTGCTCCTGCTCAAGAACACAATATGAGTAATTCACAAAATCTTCAGGATTCACTGGTTGGTCATAGCTCCAACTTTGAGATCCAATTAGCTAATTTAAATGTAATTATATTATTCAACTAATTATTTGTGAGTGAAGTTGAGTAATGCTGTCATTGTATGCAACACCAGGAACTGACGGTTGTATGAAATGTTCAATTTTACATTTCCCAACTTGGGGGTGCTTAATTATACAATTATAAAGAGGTTTCAGCATGTACTTTTATGTTAGGTATTTATTTGTTTTTGTTTTCAATATACTTTTCATAACTCCAAAGGAGCTACAGAACGTGCAGATGACGACAAATATATTAATGTAATTTTAAGTCATTTACATGTTAAGGAATATTTAAATTTAAAATAATATTATATTTTTGTAATATCTTCAAGGATTTTAATTCAAACCCTGATTTATATATTATTCAAAGCACAAATATTGCTTTTGAAATTTCAAAGCATTAAAGAACCTATTTCAAGCATTAAAGAATAATTCAAAAGGAAGTACTTAATGTCCCTTTGTTTTCTTTCTCTCAAGAGAAAAAAAAAACTCCCATTTGAATAAAGGCTAAATTATAGTGATGATTCAAACAACTGGAAGAGATTAAGAATTACAGTTGCATGGAATATGAAGTATCTCATTCTGGATTGGGGAATTGAATTTTTAACTAAATCTAGTAATTAGTTTTCTGTAAGTTGTTAAAATAGCTAAAAATTAATGTAAGAGACCTAATTTTTTCTTGTTTGGGGATTTAGCCAATATTCTATATATTTTCTTTAGAGTGATAATTGCTTTCTTGTCATTTGTTTTCAACAAATAAAGATGATTACAATTACACTGACAAGATACTCAAGGTGGGAAAGACTATATATCTCTATCAATCAATCATAGATATCTATCAATATTCTCAGTCCATTCTGTCTCAGACTATTCCTGCTTCTATAGTAAAATAGATGGGTAATTTATAAAGAATAGAAATTTATTTCTCACAGTTCTAGGGGCTGGGAAGTCTAAGATCAGGGTGTCAGCAGATTTGCTATCTGTTAAGGGCTCGCTCCCTTCTTCTAAGAGAGCTCTTGGGTGGCTCTTCTTGCTGCATCCTCACATGGAGGAAAGACTGAATGCTGTGTCTTCGCTTGGCAGAATGGCAAATCATCACATTGTACACCTTGAATATATACAGTTTTAAATTTTAGTATATTTTTTATTAATGTTAGCATGGTATATCTCCATCTCACTTTTAATTTACATGTGTAATTATATTTAAAGTGGATTTATTGAGGGGAACATATAGTTGGGTCTTGTTTTTTGACCCTTTCTTGTTTTTTAATCCTCATGCATTAAAATACAATCCTTGGTTTTTCGGGGTTTTTTTTTTTTTTTTGAGACAGAGTCTCACTCTGTCACCAAGGCTGGAGTGCAGTGGGGCAATCTTGGCTCACTGCAACCTTTGCCTCCCAGGTTCAAACAACTCTCCTGCCTCAGCCTCCTGAGTAGCTGGGATTACAGGAGTGTGCCACCACACCAAGCCAATTTTTGTATTTTTAGTATTTTAGTATTTAGTATTTTGTGTTTTTGTATTTTTGTATTTCACCATGTTGGTCAGGCTGGTCTCAGACTCCTGACCTCATGATATGCCCAAATTAGCCTCCCGAAGTGCTGGGATTACAGGCATAAGCCACTGCACCTGGCCCAATCCATGTAATTTAATTGGTGTACTTAGACTTGTTTTTTAAATTTTTTTGACTTGTATTTCAATAGCTTTGGGGGTACAGGTGGTTTTTTCTTACATGGATAATTTCTTTAGTGGTATTTCTGAGATTTTAGGGCACTCGCCACTTAAGCAGTATACACCATACCCAATATGTAGTCTTTTATCCCTCATCCCACTCCTGACCTTCCCCCCATCCCAAGTTCCCAAAGCCCATTGTATCATTTTTATGCCTTTGCATCAGTTTAGCTCTCACTTATAAATGAGAACATACAATATTTGGTTTTCTACTGCTGAGTTACTTCACTTAAAATCATGGCCTTCAGCTCTATCCAAGTTGCTGCCAAAGACATTATTTTGTTCCTTTTTATGCCTGAGTGGTATTCCACGGTGTATATATACACCACATTTTCTTTATCCCATCATTGGTTGATGAGTACTTAGGTTGGTTCCACATCTTTACAGTTGCCAATTATGGCACCAGAAACATGTGTGTCTAAGTATCTTTTTATATAATGACTTATTTTCCTTTGGATAGATACCCAGTAGTGGGATTGCTAGATCAAAAGGTAGTTCTTTAAGGAAACTCCATGCTGTTTTTCATAGTGATTGTACTAATTTACATTCCCACCAGTAGGGTAAAAGTGTTCCTTTTCACCACATCCACACCAATGTCTATTGTTTTTTGACTTTTTTGTTATGGCCATTCTTGCAGGAGTAAGGTGGTATCTCATTGTGGTTTTAATTTGCATTTCCCTGATGATTAGTGATGTTGAGCATTTTTTCATATGTTTGTTGGCTGTTTGTATATCTTCTTTTGAGAATTGTCTACTCATGTCTTAGCCCACTTTTTGATGGGATTTTTTTTTTCTTGCTGATTTGAGTTTCTTGTAGATTCTTAGATATTAGTTCTTTGTTAGACACAAATTTTGTGAATATTTTTTCTCACTCCATGGGCTGTTCATTCTGCTGATTATTTCTTTTGCTGTGCAGAAGCGTTTTAGTCTAATTAGGTTCCATTTTTAAATTTTTGTTTTTGTTGCATTTGCTTTGGGGTCTTAGTCATGAATTCTTTGCCTAAGCCAATGTCTAGAAGAGTTTTTTCTGATGTTATCTTCTAGAACTCTTACTGTTTTAGGTCTTAGATTTAAGTCTTTGATCCATCTTGAGTTGATTTTTGTATAAGGTAATAGATGGGGATCCAGTTTCATTCTTCTACATGTGGCTTGCCAATTTTCTCAGTACTGTTTATCGAACAGGGCATCCTTTCCTCAATTTATGTTTTTGTATGCTTTGTTGAAGATCAGTTGGCTGTAAGTATTTATTCTTGTTTCTGGGTTCTCCAGAGATTATTGATGTTTAACTCCATTATTGATATACCTCGATTAATATCTAGCATAGTTAGTACTGTTTTCTATTTGTTGTTCTTTTCTTTGTTCCTATTTTTATATTCCATACTTTTTTCTGCTTTTTGCCATTTTAATTGAGCATTAATTACATTTACATAATTGCATTTTCTCTCCTTTCTAAGCATATCGATTGTACTTCTTTAAAAACATTATTTTAGTTGTTGCCCAAGAGTTTGTAATGTACATTTATAACTAATACAAGTGTTCTATAGTCCTATGATTAGGTCTTGGTCTTTTGATGAGTCTATGCCCCTGGACTGCAACCTTCACCATTGCTTCTCAGTTTTTTTCCTCCCTTAGGTGGGACTGGAAGGCTGGAGCAGGCTGGAGTTGAGTATTTCCCTTCCCCCAGGTCAAGTAGTCTCTGGAAAACCCTCAGGAGATTAGGCTCTGATAAAATAGTTTCTCCTGAGGAAACGCCTTACTAAAAGGAACAGAATCCTCCAGTGTATTGCAAAATGGTTCCTTTTCCCTGCTGATGGAGACATGAGGGAGTATGTCACCAATATTCTCTGTGAGAACCTCATAGCATTCCTGGAGGTAAAACTCAAGAAAGTGTGAAGGCTCCCCCATGAATGGGTCTCCCTGGAGTTTTAAACTCAGAATTGTTCACACTGAGTCTCCAGCAATTTGTCAATTACAGTTCAGGTTTTCCTACTCTGATTCCTGCAGAGGTTTCTGCTCCTAGGTTTCTGGTCTGGTTAAGTTGCAATTTTCTGTATTTGCTGCCTATTTTTTCAATTATGGGGGCAGCAGTTTGCCCTGTGAATTCACTTCTCTGATGGAGCTAAGAAGAGTTGTTGATTTTTCAGATTATTCAGCTTTTTATTTGATGTTTGGATGGAGTGGCAACTTCTAAGCTCTTTACATTTTGGACCAGAAACCAGAAGTCTTTTTAGTTTTTATTTATTTATTTAGAAATGGAGTTTTTGCTCTTGTTGCCCAGGCTGGAGTGCAGTGGCGGGATCTCAGCTCACTGCAACCTCTGCCTCCTGAGTTCAAGTGATTCTCCTGCCTCAGCCTCCCAAGTAGCTGGGACTACAGGTGCCTGCCACCACACCTGGCTAATTTTTGTATTTTTAGTAGAGACGGGGTTTCACCATGTTGGCCAGGATGGTCTGGATCTCCTGACCTCGTGATCTACTCGCCTTGGCCTCTCAAAGTGCTGGGATTACAGGTGTGAGCCACCATGCCCAGCTTTTTAGTTTACTTTTAAATAAAATTCTATGGTCTAAATCTGGAGATTGGCCAGCCATGGTGGCTCACGCCTGTAATCCCAGCACTTTGGGAGGCTAAAGTAGGAAGATTGCTTGAGCCCAGGAGTTTGCAACAAGCCTGGGCAACATAGTGAGCTCCCATTTCTACAAATAAATACATAAATAAGTAAATTAGCCAGGCACGGTGGCACATGCCCGTAGTCCCAGATGCTCAGGAGGATGAGTTGGAAGGATTGCTTGAGCATGGGAGGATGAGGCTGGGTGACAGAGCAAGACTCTTTCTTAAACAAATAAATAAATAAAATAATAAATAAATAAATCTGACGATCATTCCTAATTTCATAATAGGTTGGGAGATTTATAGTTAAGAGCCTTAATTTTTAAAAAATCAGAATTTGGTGGTATTTTTACATAATGTTTACATGACTAGGATGAAGTTGATTTCCAAGTTTCCAATTAGGGTGAAAAGTAATCCTTATAATCCAATATTCATGACAAGTGCAACAGGGCAAAAAGAGTGGATTCAACATTCTTATATCCAAATGGTTCAAGTGTATTTGATAGCTGAGGGGTCGGTTCTAATTTACTAGTCACAGCATTACTTAGATGGGCTGGTTGACAATGGAACTGGATGGTTACATTTGTATTTTGGCATTGAAGTAGATCTATGGCTGGTAGCACAGTGGTTACTGTTCCATACTAGAGCCAACAAAATTAGTCTTGTCAGTTTCATAGACAGCCACACTGCTAACTCTTTCAACTGCCCTGTAACAGATGCAAACCCATTATCACTGCTAGAAACACAACTCTTGGAATGTGCCTAAGCAATGGGAGTGTGTGGTGAGACAGCATTTATCAAGCCACCACCAACTCATGGGATAGTCACTGCCATCATGCTAGGGCATATGATATACTCAATTGTTGGTAAGTAATAGAACCTCTCCATTCTCAGATTTCCCATTTATATGACGGAAATAATATTAACTATTAAGAATGACATAAAGATCAATGGGCTTAATTAGGTAGAATTTTGAATTCCTTGCAGGTGTTATTTAAATCTGAGCTACAATTTGGTCAATAAAAAAAGCTTACTTGGTCCCCGCAATGTGTGGATTATAACATAGTTCTAAGTACTTTTAGGAATTATAAAGGAATTAGAGGCCACATCTCTATTCTCATGGAATTATTATACTCCATGTAAGACAGGACTAATCCCAGTCAAAGTTGATAAGCACACTAACAAAGATATTACCAGTTGCCACCGCTGACAAGGACTCTGTTGATCCTTCAATGGTCCATGCCCAGGTTCAGGTGTAGAGAACTGGAAGCTCTAGGAGACTCAAGGAAAAAAACACAGGCTTAAAGGATGGGTTCACTTCTGAAGGTTTAATTATTTTGGAAAACCATTTAGCACAATCTCATGCTACCATATAATTCTTGTTTTAAAGGTCTGGTACTGAAAAAATTTTTACAGTAAAAATGAAACAATTTAGTATAACTACAGGTATTATCATCACAATTATAAACCTTTCCACCAAGAAAAGAATGCACACACATACATATACAAATGATGGTTTAAATGTCTAGTTTTAGGAGACTAAGGAGTTAACAACACAAAAGTAGCAGCAATGTGTATACTGCATATGCTATGAAACCTGACAGAAAGATATTCAATAATAGCCCACTTCCCCCACCTGCAGCATAAGAAATTACATTAAATAAGAGACTTCACTAAGAAAAGGAGTAGCTAAGCAACACCTTCAAATCTCAAAGGAGTGTTTTTTAAAAGCCCTAAATTTAGCTATTACATATATTCATCAGCACAGCTAAAAAGTCTTTATAAACTAATCTGCAGCATCCAATAAAATAAAAATTCAGAGGAGGGTTTATTGTGCAGCTGAAATTCTTGAAGCTCAAATATATCGGTTATGGTGCTGCAAGTCGTTTTCCTGTTGCATGCGTGCTAGGAATGCCTAATCCATTACTTTCCACAAAAGAGTACCTTTTTGTCTCTTCAAAGTTTGCTTGATTACCTGGATGGTGCTTATGTGGGCGTGTTCATTATGATTTGTGAAAATCATTATGATTTGTGCTGCCTACTTCAACTAACAAGAAAACAGGCTGGGTGTGGTGGTTCACACCTGTAATCCCAGCACTTTGGGAGGCCAAGGTGGGAGGATCACTTGAGCCCAGGAGTTCTAGACCAGCCTGGGCAACATAGTGAGACCCCGTCTCAACAAAAAAAAATTAAAAAGAATAAGTAAATTAACCGGGCATGGTGCATGCCTGCTGTCCCAGTTAGTTGGGACACTGAGGTGGGAGGATTGCTTGAGCAATCGACCTGAGAGGTCGAGGCTGCAGTGAGCTGTAATTGCACCACTGCACTCCAGACTGGGTGACAGAGTGAAACCCTGTCTCAAAAATTTAAAAACAAAACCACCTTATTTCAGATGCACTTTCATAAATCATTATCATACTTGCTTAGTCTAATAACCAGGTCTCTATCTTTCAAATACTTAAATACGTGTATCTCCATCTGTGCACCTTTCTAAAAAATTATTACACCTTTGTCATCAATTTCTTTGTGTTTTTAGTTTACTTGTGTTATTCACCTTTCCCTTTGAAACCTTAAGTTTTTTTTTTACCTGCCATCTCCTTTGTAACTTTTCTACATTGATTTAAAGTAGACAGTGGTATATATATAAATCAGCTTTCAAGAAAAACAAAAAAGCCCTGATTTGAAGTGATTGACAATTTCTGTGGTATAAATACTTCCAATTTCAAAGTTCCAAGGTTTAATATCCAGGTCATGAAATTCCTGAATATTTGACAATCAGCTCTCATGAACAGAAAAAAGTCTGCTCTAGCCACGTAGGTAAACAGTAAGATCATTACTAGTTTTGCACTGACTTAGAAGAGTATTTTCACTAACTGCTCATTCACTTACACCATCATAAAGTTCCTCCAGCTGTGTGCATAGACAATTATAACTTATTTCAGTGTGGAATCAATGAAGGGTGAAAATTCTTCCCTCTATGCATCCCTGCAGAGCTAAGGCTAAATAAGCCAATTTGCTGAATGACTTAGAACCAAGTATTTATTGCATCACAAACAGATTAGTTCCCACTTGTCAGAAAATGTAATAGAGCCAAGATGCCAATTGGTGTTTGTTTTCTGCCACAAGTGCAGACTAAACAGAATGGATATTCAGTACGCTGTATTCAACTGAAGGATGCATTTTCAAAATGGGATGGAGGAGAATAAACAGGCAACATTAATGTCAGAGGGAATTACGGGTATGAACACTTTTTTTCTGCTTCTGTATAAACCTGACCCTGCTACAAATGTTCAGTGGCATAAATAACGACAATAGATGGATTTTGCTCTTGGAAACTCAAATACAGAAAGGCAACTGACATTTTCAATGTCAATATTTTGGAGGGCAATGCTTTTCCTGATTTATGGGGATGCCTATTATTTTGGCATGGATTTATCAGGAAAAAACAACCAGAAAAAAAATGAAAGTTCAAAGATCTGAAATAGGCTGGAAAAAGATATTTTTAAAAAAACACTGATTCTACTGAAAATAAAAATTCAGGGCTCTTTATTGTATTAAATGAAATAGAAGGCGGAGGAAAAGAACACTATTAAAATTCTCTCCCCAAATCATCGCAACTTTAAATTTCCTGGGGCTGGTGAACATGACTGGAAATTGAATGGTAGTTCCTCTGGGATCTTCCTTTCTTCTTTTTTCTCTACCCCTACCCTCAATGACACTGGAACTTGAAATTGCACAATCAGATAAAAACCTGTTCTATGACTTCCTTCTCGATTTAATAAGTCAGAAATGTCACATACTTTCAGAAAAGTATATGAAGGACATCAGAATGGGAGCTGGTATAAGCTTGGGGTTTATTTCAAGGGTCACGACTAATTTTTGATCACATGTTAATGGGAAGATTTATCCCTGCTGTACTTCATGTGTGGGATATTTACCCATGCATTTTTAGTCATGGAATTTCCCTCTGTCACCTAGGCTGGAAAGCAGTGGCATAATCATAGCTTACTGTAATGTTGAACTTCTGGGCTCAAGTGATCTTCTCTCCTTATCCTCCAGAGTAGCTGGGACTATAGGCATGCATCACCATACACAGCTAATTGTTTACTTATTTTTATTTTTTTTGTAGAGATGAGGTCTCACTATTTTGTACAGGCTGGTCTGAAACTCCTAGCCTCAAGTATTCTTCCTGCCTCCGTCTCCCAAGTAACTGAGATTACAGGCACACTTCACCATGCCTGGCCACAGGAGTGTAGACTTTTTGACGAAAGTTTTCCTGAGGTGACTGCCTCCTATAATCATAGTATAAAAACCAACAAGTTATGACCTCACCATTCTCAACACTTAAGACATATTTCATGCTTAGCATTAAACAGAAATGAAAACAAATGTCACAGTTTGGGTTCTCTAAGAAGCAGTCTCTGAGACAGAGTTTAATGTTCAGGAGTGCTCTTGCAATCAACACCTGTGGGAAGGAAGGGAGAAAGAGGGATTGGATAAAGGGGAAGTTGAACTGTGATGTAGGTTTGACAGACTCTGGCACAGGGAGTTCTGGAGCAGAAATGGCTCAAAAGGATCATCCCAGTTTGAGTCAGAGTGGCTGTTCTTTTATGTCCCTGCCTCTATCCATCCATCCATCATTAGATGTGAGCCTTTCCTAGACAGGTATGACCTTGGTGAGATGGCTTTCTATAATGATGTGTTCCCCGAAGGGACTAAAAGCTGAAAGCTGTTCCACTGTTCCATCAAAATACCCATTACAGTTGGGGCAATAAATCCTTCCTTGAAGGGGAATTTGAGCACCACATCTCTGTGTCAACAGCAACAAGTCTCCTTAACCTGAAAAATATCGATCATCTTTTACACATCTCACATACTAAATAAGAGCATAAGAGTCTGCCTACTAATACATTCAAAATGATTTAAGAACTATTGTTTTTCCAATATATGGTGTTGGAACAATTGGATATCCATAAGCAAAAACAAAAACAAAACCTCGACCTAAACATTTCACTTTCATAAAAATTAACTCAAAATGAATCATGGATTTAAACATCATGTGTAAAATCATAAAACTTTTAGGAAAAAACATAGGAGAAACCTAGGATCCTCAAGACCTCAAGCTAGGCAAAGAGTTCTCAGACTCAATAGCAAAAGCATAATCCATTTTTAGAAATCAATAAATGGGATTTTATCAATTTAAAAACTTTTACTGTGCAAAAGTATGCACCATATGAAGAGGATGAAAAAATAAGCTACAGATGGCAAGAAGTATTTGCAAACTACATACCTGACAAAGGACTGGTATCTACAGAATATAAAGAATTCTCAAAACTCAACAGTTAGAAAATGAGCAAAATATATGAACGGATACTTCATTTTAAAAATGATATACGGAGGGCAAATAATCACATGAAAAGATGCTCAACATCACCAGCCATCAGGGAAATGCAAATTAAACTCACAATGGGACATCACTACACACCCATCAGAATGGCTAAAATAAAAAACAGAGACAACACCAAAGGCTGACAAGGAAGTAGAGAAACTAGGTTGATCATAGCTTGCTGGTAGGAATATATGGTACAGAGACTCTGGAAAGTAGTTTGGTGATTTTTAAAAAACAAAATATGCAACTATCATATGACCCAGCAATTGTACTCTTTGACATTTATCCCAGAGAAATTAAAACTTGGAATCACACAAAAACCTGTACATGAATGTTTCTGGCAGCTTTATTTGTAATAGCTGAAAACTGGAAACAGATGTCCTGCATCAGATAATTGATTAAACAAACCATGGGTATATTAAACCTTGTAATACTACTCTGCAAGAAAAAGGAATGAACTAGGCATATGTGCAACAATTTTAATCTCCAAATAATTATGCTGAGAGAAAAGTCAATCCCAAGAGGTTAAATATGGGCCAAGTATGGTGGCTCAGGCCTGTAATCCCAACACTTTGGGAGGCGAGGTGAGAGGATCACTTGAGCCCAGGAGTTTGAGACCAGCCTGGGCAACAAAGTGAGACCCTGTATGTACCAAAAAAAAAAAAAAAAAATAGCTAGGCATGGTGGTAAGCATGTTGTCCCAGGTACACGGAGGTTAAGCCAGGAGGATTGTTTAACATAGGTGATCAAGGCTGTACTGAACCAGGTTTGCACCTGTACTCCAACCTGGGAGACAGAGTGAGACCCTGACTCAAAAAAAAAATTTTTTTTAAAGTAATATTCTATTCTATAATGATTCCATTTAGATAACTTTCTTGGAATGACAAAATTATAGGAATAGATTAGTTGTTGGGTTGTATGTGCAGGAGGGAAGTGGGTATGGCTGTAAAAGGGCAACAAGAGGGATCCTGTGGTGATGGAAATGTTCCACATATGTATTGTTTCAGTGTCAATGTCCTGGTTGTGACATTGTAATATTTTGCAAAATGTTACCACAAGGGGAAGTTGGTAAAGGGTACATGGGAGCTTTCTGTATTATTCTTACAACTGCATGTGAATCTGCAGTTATCTCAACATAAATAGTTTAAAAAAAGACTTTGTGAAAAAAATCTTGAATTAAATTAACCACTTAATTTAGTAGATGAAATGGTGGCATTACACATTGGTGGGATAAGGAGTTATCAATGCATGGTGTGAAGGTGATTTGATGATCTATTGCTACCTAACAAACTACCTCAAAATATAATGGCTTAAAACCATCACCATGTTATTTTCTCACAATTCTGTGGGTCAGGAATTCAAGTTAATCTGGACAGACATTAATCCAGACAATACTGGTTGGGGCCATTCACTCAGCTGCATTCAGGTGGTGGGTGGGCTGGGAATTCAAAGCCTTCACTCACAAGTCTGGTGCCTCAGTGCTCTGCACATGGCTTCTCTCTCCACATGGCTAGCAAGGCTTGCTTACAGCATGGTGGTCTCAGGGTAGTCAGACTTTTGCCATAGTATTTGACTCAGGAGGGGGAATAGATGAATTGGTGAACTCTGGAGCAACAGATTCTTAAGTTTCAGCACTGGAAATTACACAGCATCACTTCTGCCACATGCTTTTGGTCAAAACAAGTCACAAAGTTCAGACTCAAGGGAAGGAAAAATAAACTCTAATCAACATGAGGGGCCATGAGGGGCCAATCAATTAACTACAGATGTGCCTTGACCTACCATGGGGTTATTTCCTGATAAACCCACTGTAAGTTGAAAACACTGTTAAGTTCAAAGTGCATTTAATACACCTAACCTACCTAACATCATAGCTTAGCCTACCTTAAATGTCCTCAGAACTCTTACATTAGCCTACTGTTATGCAAAACCATCTAATACAAGGTCTATTTTATAATAAAGTCTTAAATATTTCATGCAATTTATGGAATAATGCAGTGAGTAAAAAACAGAATGGCTGTATGGGTATTCGAATGGTTTCTACTGAATGTGTATTGCTTTCACACCATTGCAAAGTCACAAAATTGTAAGTTGAGCCATCATAAGTTGGGGGCTGTATTTGTAAAATACTTTTCTTTGTGGGAAGTTTTTAAAAAATTACACATTCTGGCCGGGCGCGGCGGCTCATGCCTGTAATCCCAGTGCTTTGGGAGGCCAAGGCGGGCAGATCATGAGGTCAGGAGATCTAAACCATCCTGGCTAACATGGTGAAACTCTGTGTCTACTAAAAATACAAAAAGTTAGCTGGCTGTGGTGGCGGGCCCCTGTAGTCCCAGCTACTCGGGAGGCTGAGGCAGGAAAATGGTGTGAACCCGGGAGGCAGAGCTTGCAGTGAGCTGAGGTAGTGCCACTGCACTCCAGCCTGGGTGACAGAGCGAGACTCTGTCTCCAAAAAAATAAAATAAAAATAAACAAATAAATAAATAATTAAAATAAATAAATAAATAATTACACATTCAATTAAAAAAAGGGATATTGAGCTACTCGGATTTTCTATTTCATCTTATCAGTTTTAGTAAGTTATGCTTTCTAAAGATTTTGTTTATCTAAGTTGTCAAATTTATTGGCATAAAGCTATTTGTAGTATTGTCTTACTATCTTTTGAATATATTGATAAGATCTCTAGTGACATCTTCTTTTCCATTTCTGATACTGTTAATTTGTACTTTTTCTTTTTCTTCTTATCAGCTATCCAGGCATTTATCAATTTTATTAATCTCAAGGAACCAACTTTTGGATATTTCATGGATTTTGCTTTTTCCACATATCAATATGCTCTGGAGTACTTCCATATTAGTGCATATAGATCTACCTCATTTATCTTAATTGCTGCCATAGTATTCCACATTACGGAGGTACCAGAATTTATTTAATCATAGGCATTCTTATTAATTTTTCTTTTTTTTTTTTTTTTTTTTTTGCTATTAGACTACTGAAGCAAACATCCTTTGATGTGTCTCTATGTGCACATGAGAAAGGTCAGACCCCCAGAAGTTAAATTCCTGGACGACAGAGTACATTGATTTTACATTTTAAAACAGATCTCCCAAACTGCTTTCCAAATGGCTGTGCCAATTTGCACTTCCACCAAATAGGTAGGGACATTCCCCACTGATCCATGGCCTTGCCAATATTTAGCAGCATCAGCCTTTTATATCGATGAGTAAATTGATCACTGATGAGTCTGAGCATCTTGCAGCTGTTTATGGCTTGAGGGTTTTCTCCTCTGAGAAGGCTTTTTTCATCTACTTTCTATTTTTTAAAATATATCGAAGATATTAAAGCCTTGGTTTCTTAACATGTTCAAATAGATTTCTAATCTGTTCCATATTTTGCAGTTTTATTGTGCCTTTTTTCACACGATGTCTTAGATTTTGATGTGGTTAAATTAATCACTCTTTTTCTTTATGGCCTGGCATTTGTGTCCCACTCAAGAAGGTCTTTTATTCTGGTTCTGAGAGTTCAATTAATGCTTATTAGTTAATCAGAATCTCTTGTCTCTGGAGGGCAGCTCTACCACTGAGTTCTAGGATCTAGCCCCCAGGGCACCATGCTCCTCTTCCTCATTCCTCC